AACGAGGACTGAGGCTGTAGACCCAGGACTCAGACTGTAGAACGAGGACTGAGGCTGTAGACCCAGGACTCAGACTGTAGAACGAGGACTGAGGCTGTAGACCCCGGACTCAGACTGTAGAACGAGGACTGAGGCTGTAGACCCCGGACTCAGACTGTAGAACGAGGACTGAGGCTGTAGATCCAGGTCTCAGACTGTAGAACGAGGACTGAGGCTGTAGATCCAGGACTCAGACTGTAGAACGAGGACTGAGGCTGTAGATCCAGGACTCAGACTGTAGAACGAGGACTGAGGCTGTAGATCCAGGACTCAGACTGTAGAACGAGGACTGAGGCTGTAGATCCAGGACTCAGACTGTAGAACGAGGACCGAGGCTGTAGACCCAGGACTCAGACTGTAGAACGAGGACTGAGGCTGTAGATCCAGGACTCAGACTGTAGAACGAGGACTGAGGCTGTAGACCCAGGACTCAGACTGTATGAACGAGGACTGAGGCTGTAGATCCAGGACTCAGACTGTAGAACGAGGACTGAGGCTGTAGACCCAGGACTCAGACTGTAGAACGAGGACTGAGGCTGTAGACCCAGGACTCAGACTGTAGAACGAGGACTGAGGCTGTAGATCCAGGACTCAGACTGTAGAACGAGGACTGAGGCTGTAGACCCAGGACTCAGACTGTAGAACGAGGACTGAGGCTGTAGATCCAGGACTCAGACTGTAGAACGAGGACTGAGGCTGTAGACCCAGGACTCAGACTGTATGAACGAGGACTGAGGCTGTAGATCCAGGACTCAGACTGTAGAACGAGGACTGAGGCTGTAGACCCAGGACTCAGACTGTAGAACGAGGACTGAGGCTGTAGACCCAGGACTCAGACTGTAGAACGAGGACTGAGGCTGTAGACCCAGGACTCAGACTGTAGAACGAGGACTGAGGCTGTAGACCCAGGACTCAGACTGTAGAACGAGGACTGAGGCTGTAGACCCAGGACTCAGACTGTAGAACGAGGACTGAGGCTGTAGATCCAGGACTCAGACTGTAGAACGAGGACTGAGGCTGTAGACCCAGGACTCAGACTGTAGAACGAGGACTGAGGCTGTAGACCCAGGACTCAGACTGTAGAACGAGGACTGAGGCTGTAGATCCAGGACTCAGACTGTAGAACGAGGACTGAGGCTGTAGACCCAGGACTCAGACTGTAGAACGAGGACTGAGGCTGTAGACCCAGGACTCAGACTGTAGAACGAGGACTGAGGCTGTAGACCCAGGACTCAGACTGTAGAACGAGGACTGAGGCTGTAGACCCAGGACCTAGAACGTGGACCAGGGCCAGGGACATGAGGATATTATTTCTAGTAGGCCTGAATTCAGTCGCAAATATAAAAAAGTGTAATTTGAGATTCAAAGTTAAATATAAAAACATAAATATTTGGCCTAATTACTTTAGAACAGATTGAATTATATCCTGAGAAAAATTGGCTTTAAAATGAAGTATAATTGAAAACCATTTCAGGGGCCACTAAAATGGGCTTCACGGCCGGATTAGGCCCACGGACCTTTGACATGTCTGTGCTAAAGCTTGGGTTTTGTATTTTCCCACACAGGGCAAACACGTCTCCACTTTAACGAGGATCACGGCGTTTCTGAAATAGTAGAATTACATTTTTGGTTTTCTAGTTAGTTGTAAACGGCGTCGTCATCAACCTAAATATGAATCATTTATAGCAGTACAGACGATGGTGAGAAACCTTCCTTTGCTTTGACTAATCCCTGTACGACTGAGGGCTTACACAAACTTATAGTAGTATTTTTTATTTGAGCAGTTTTACAATGTATTTTATATTTTTTTACATGCACGTATAATTCAAGAAAGAAAAAAAGAGATCAAAAGCATAAGTGCCTTCCCCATTATCAATAATTCATTTAAGCAGCTGCAAAAATATCTACATTTTCACATGACATTCCTAATTTTTACCATCACCGCTACATTTATAAACGTGTTTATTTTGACACTGGAGAAAAGGAGGTGATCACAAAATTAGCAAATGATTAATTTAGTCACTGTTTTTGGTTGATTTGTTTTTTATTACAGTTAAATCAGATTTACTAAAGAGGTCGAATGGTGTGTCTTTAATATTAGGGAGAAACGTAAGAACATTAATGTAAAACAGAAGTCAGTCAAATGTTCTGTGTCTTTACTTTTATCTTGTTTGTTTTTTAATTTTTGGGAGTTGTAATATTAATTAATGAAGCTCTAAACAAGTGCAAAAATGATTCTGATTCTGATAAACTCCAGTTAAATGTTGATGATGTGGTGTTTTTTGTCTTTAAAGAATTAAATAAATACCATCATATAAATTCATTTAAAACTAATTGTCGTGTGTGGAAATTATGAAAACGGCAGAGAAATTAAAAATGTTAAAATTTTTAAAAAACGGGAAAGGAAATGACATAAATATCTACTGCAGCACAAAGAGAAAGTGACACCATACACACAACAAACACTCGACACAGAAACCTGGCGAGGCTCATAAGAAACGTAGAAGAAGAAAAGACTCATGTAGGCAGTGAGTGCATTTGGTTTGATTTAGGTCCGATTTTTACGGAATATATTGTTAATTTTCTGTACTGAGTTCATGTATAAAGTGTTCTGTTCTATTAAAAAATAACAAAAGAGAGACAAACAACAGAAAAAACAAGATAGAATAACATAATAACTGTTCAATAAATACTTAAGAGAGAAATAAGATCTAGAAGAAAAGCTACATTAGTTGAGATTTTTCGATGTCTCCAGGGCTGTTGGTTCTTTGCTTCCTTGCTGTGGATATTATGAAATAAATTATTATAATATCCATAGTCCATGCACAATAATAATAATAATAATAATAATAATAATACATCAAACTTACATAGCGCTTTTTGGACGCTCAAAGACGCTTTACAAAACACATAAAAATAAACGTTGAGAAACAAAATTAGGGAAAGGCTGAAACAGGTGGGTTTGCAGAAGACAGTTGACGAAGCAAATTGATTTTAGAACTTTTGCCTTTGATTTTATTCTGCGTCAACTTGTTGCACCGAGAGCCAAAGCAATAACCATGTGTGTGACTTGCTCTACTCTAAACTAGTGCAGCGCTGCCCTCTAGTGGCCACAGTAGACCATTGCCTTGAACTGAAACGTAGCGTCACACTCTTCACACTGGGTCATATAATCTCACCTTTTTAAAATATGCTTTCAATACTTTTCATTTTCTGCAGGTTTATGAATGAGTGGTGAAGAGGATGGACATTTGCAAATGTAACCGGTAAGTTTTTTAATTTTTAACGTTTTGTTTTCGCCTCCTCACCTGGGGCTCGTCCCGCATTCTATGGTCAAAAAACACTTTATTATTTACAGTCTATGGTCAAAACATCTGTTCTTAGTTCATCATAAGTTTATAGTCGCTTGTACGTTCTCGTTGTTGTAGTATCTCGTAACCCTGGATCTATATTAATATCTCTTATCTCGTCAACTGAATCACGTGCTGAGAAAAACATGCTAGCTAGCGTAAATTGTTGTCTGCGATTAGCACAAATAAAATAAATAAATAAATAAAATAAACACATTTTATAAAGTTGTCTGTGATTAGAACAAATAAAAAAAACTTGTAACAGTTGTCTGCAATAAAAAATAAATAAAACAATACATTTTAAAAGTGCTGAAAAAGCATATGCTAGCTAGCGTAAATTGTTGTCTGTGATTAGAATCAATAAAAATAAAAAATAAAAATAAATAAACACATTTTTAAAAGTTGTCCATGATTAGTCTGCATGTCATCATGAGTGAATATAGACTCTCTGAACCACATAGTCCTAGTGAGAGTCCATGGTCCACACATAACCACGGACTACAGTCATGGATCTAGACCACGGGTCCCTAACGCCCCATGGCCTCATCCTCAGCACATTTTAGCTTATGTAAACCTGGTGAACACACAAAGAGCAGAGGCCAGATCTGGGCCACACTCTGTTCAAAGGGACAACTGTAAATGTTTGATTCCCACAATAACATGTGTGCAGTCCCAGCTCTCTCACAGAAATGTCTTTTTAGAGTGTGATTATTTTTGAGCCAGGATTCAGTTATTGTTTAATTTCGTTTTGAAACATTCTATTGAGTTTTGGTAAGTCAAAAGTCTGTATGCTTTGTGATTTGTTGTTCTGCCATTATTCTGCTGATGCTTGTGTGGTGGGAATAACACAGACCTAGAAGGACTGTGTAGTTTCACTCTGCAATGTCAACAGACTAGAAGTGCATGTTGTTTGTTGTTGTTTTATTATTTATTTTGTCTTCAGTGCTCATTGAGGTTGTTTTTGGTCAGATTAACCTTCAGCACTATCCCAATTTATTTTATGGAAACACTAGTAAAGCTGTCTTCTATGTAATGATGATAATGATATTATGTGGTTATTGATAAAGAAGTTACCAAACTGGTGAATGGAAATTAGGGCTGTAACTAACTATTCTGTTGACCAATGATTCATCTCTGATTTTGTTTGATCATTAAAATCCAGTGATGCTAAAATGATCCCATTTGAGAAATAAAACACTTCATAGATTAGGATAAGGCCAAATTCTTTTCTTTGGTAAATACAGTTCTGATGGGATTCCTAAAACCTGTTCACAGCTTACATCTTTGTGTGGTTTTAGTGTGTTTTAATGGATTACCAATAATCTAATTACTAATAAAAGCTGTAATTGAGAGTTTGGACTAAATATATATCAAGAGAAGTATGTCAAGTAGATGTACATATTGTTTTATTTTCTCCATAACTTCTAAACGTAGCTAATCCTTCATCAAAATTGTTGTAATTTAGATCAGATTAGATTAGATGATTATATAGTAGTCACTTAATACAAATGTTGGTCAAATAGGATGTGGAATTCAAGCGTACCGTACGAAGTTAGACTTAGTTAATTTGACTTTTTTCTGGTTGGAAGAGAGGGTGGTCGCTGCACTGAGATGGCCATGGTCTGTCTGACTGACTTTGAGGAGTATGCAAAGGCGCACCTGTCAAAGTCCACCTGGGATTATTACGCGGCCGGAGCGGACGAATGCTGCACCAGAGATGACAATGTGCTGGCGTACAAGAGGTAGTGTGAAAAATGATAATTGTGAAAAATGATAATTGCTGTATATACATTAAAAGTGTGACTGGATGTAATGAATAATTAGCTGTTTTTCCACAAAGAATTCGTCTGAGGCCTCGGATCCTGCGGGACGTGTCTGTCAGTGACACTCGGACGACGGTCCAGGGCACAGAGATCAGTTTTCCTGTGGGAATCGCACCGACAGCCTTCCACTGTTTGGCCTGGCATGAAGGAGAGGTCGCTACAGCTCGAGGTGAGTGCCTCCAACAACACAACCATAATTATTAACTCATTCTGATTAGGTTTTCACAAAAGAGCAGTCTCACCGGGCTTCACACAATTATTTTATGGGACATTTCTCAAATATGTTCAGCCGTTTTTTCTTTCTTTTTTATCAGATTTTCTTTTAAATTATGTTTTGGTTCCATCAGTTGTAACAAATGTACATTTTGTTTGAACTTGGGGCTTCATGCAAAGTCCTAGGTTCGAATCCCGGTCAAAACAGGGCCTTTTTGATTGGAGTTTGCATGTTCTCCTCACTAAAACATGTACAATCGGGTTAGCATGTACCTCCTGTAGAGTCCTGTGTGGAGTCAGAGACAAATTCCCACAATTGTAAAGCGCTTTGTGACTCTGGTCTGTGAAAGGCTGTTTTTTGTGGTCCTTTTCAGCCACGGAGGCCTTGAACACCTGCTACATCACCAGCACGTACTCCACCTGCTCTGTGGAGGAGATCGTGGCTGCAGCTCCAGGTGGATACCGATGGTTCCAGCTTTATGTTTACCGCGACCGGAAACTGTCGGAACACATCGTGCGGCGCGTGGAAGGTCTTGGGTACAAAGCCCTGGTCCTGACCGTGGATGTGCCCTACACCGGAAAACGCCGAAACGACATCCGCAACCAGTTCAAACTCCCTCCACATCTGAAGGTCAAGAACTTTGATGGGGTTTTTCAGGTAAATGCTTTGTACTGGGCCATTTTAACTGTCAGTATATCTCACCCATTCACACTGTCTGTATGAACATGTAGAGCAGCAGTCTCCAACATTTAGCAATCAGAGAGCTACTTATATACTGCAGAGGGAGATGCAGAGAGCTACTTTTATACTGCAGAGGGAGAGGCAGAGAGCGACTTTCATACAGCAGAGGGAGAGGCAGAGAGCTACTTTCATACAGCAGAGGGAGAGGCAGAGAGCTACTTTCATACAGCAGAGGGAGAGGCAGAGAGCTACTTTTATACTGCAGAGGGAGAGGCAGAGAGCGACTTTCATACTGCAGAGGGAGAGGCAGAGAGCTACTTTCATACAGCAGAGGGAGAGGCAGAGAGCTACTTTCATACAGCAGAGGGAGAGGCAGAGAGCTACTTTCATACAGCAGAGGGAGAGGCAGAGAGCTACTTTTATACTGCAGAGGGAGAGGCAGAGAGCGACTTTCATACTGCAGAGGGAGAGGCAGAGAGCTACTTTCATACAGCAGAGGGAGAGGCAGAGAGCTACTTTCATACAGCAGAGGGAGAGGCAGAGAGCTACTTTTATACAGCAGAGGGAGAGGCAGAGAGCTACTTTCATACAGCAGAGGGAGAGGCAGAGAGCTACTTTCATACAGCAGAGGGAGAGGCAGAGAGCTACTTTTATACAGCAGAGGGAGAGGCAGAGAGCTACTTTCATACAGCAGAGGGAGAGGCAGAGAGCTACTTTTATACAGCAGATGGAGAGGCAGAGAGCTACTTTTATACAGCAGAGGGAGAGGCAGAGAGCTACTTTTGTACAGCAGAGGGAGAGGCAGAGAGCTACTTTCATACAGCAGAGGGAGAGACAGAGAGCTACTTTTGCAGGAGAAGGGGCAGAGAGCTACTTTTATACAGCAGAGGGAGAGGCGAGAGTACTTTCATACAGCAGAGGGAGAGGCAGAGAAGTACTTTCATACAGCAGCAGAGGGAGAGCTACTTTATACAGCAGAGAGCTACTTTCATACAGCAGAGGGAGAGGCAGAGAGCAGAGAGCTACTTTCATACAGCAGAGGGAGAGGCAGAGAGCTACTTTTATACAGCAGAGGGAGAGGCAGAGAGCTACTTTCATACAGCAGAGGGAGAGACAGAGAGCTACTTTTGCAGGAGAAGGGGCAGAGAGCTACTTTTATACAGCAGAGGGAGAGGCAGAGAGCTACTTTCATACAGCAGAGGGAGAGGCAGAGAGCTACTTTCATACAGCAGAGGGAGAGGCAGAGAGCTACTTTCATACAGCAGAGGGAGAGGCAGAGAGCTACTTTCATACAGCAGAGGGAGAGACAGAGAGCTACTTTTGCAGGAGAAGGGGCAGAGAGCTACTTTTATACAGCAGAGGGAGAGGCAGAGAGCTACTTTCATACAGCAGAGGGAGAGGCAGAGAGCTACTTTCATACAGCAGAGGGAGAGGCAGAGAGCTACTTTTATACAGCAGAGGGAGAGGCAGAGAGCTACTTTCATACAGCAGCAGAGAGCTTACTTTCATACAGCAGAGGGAAAGGCAGAGAGCTACTTTTAATACACCAGAGGGAGAGGCAGAGAGCTACTTTGACATACAGCAGAGGGAAGGCAGAGAGCTACTTTCATACAGCAGAGGGAGAGGCAGAGAGCTGCTTTTATACAGCAGAGGGAGAGGCAAAGAGCTACTTTCTATTACAGCAGAGGGAGAGGCAGAGAGCTACTTTTCATACAGCAGAGGGAGAGACAGAGAGCTACTTTTTACAGCAGAGGGAGAGGCAGAGAGCTACTTTTAGACAGCAGAGGGAGAGGCAGAGAGCTACTTTCATACAGCAGAGGGAGAGGCAGAGAGCTACTTTCCATAGTCAGCAGGGAGAGGAGAGAGCTATTTTTATACTGCAGAGGGAGAGGCAGAGATGCTTTTCATACTGCAGAGGAGAGGCAGAGAGCTACTTATTCATACAGCAGAGGGAGAGGCAGAGAGCTACTTTCATAAGCAGAGGGAGATGGCAGAGAGCTACTGTTTTATACAGCAGAGGGAGAGGCAGAGAGCTACTTTCATACATCAGAGGATAGCAGAGGGAGAGGCAGAGAGAGCAGAGAGCTACTTTACTGTACAGCAGAGGGAGAGGCAGAGAGCTACTTTTATACAGCCAGAGAGGAGAGGCAGAGAGTCTACTTTCATTACAGCAGAGGGAGAGGAGCAGAGAAGCTACTTTCATACAGCAGAAGGGAGAGGCAGAGAGCTACTTTTTTTATACAGCAGAGGGAGAGGCAGAGAGCTACTTTTATACAGCAGAGGGAGAGGCAGAGAGCTACTTTATACAGCAGAGGGAGAGACAGAGAGCTACTTTTACAGGAGAAGGGGTAGCGAGCTATTTTCATACAGCAGAGGGAGAGGCAGAGAGCTACTTTCATACAGCAGGGGGAGAGGCAGAGAGCTACTTTCATACAGCAGAGGGAGAGGCAGAGAGCTACTTTTTCATACAGCAGAGGGAGAGGCAGAGAGCTACTTTTATTCAGCAGAGGGAGAGGCAGAGAGCTACTTTCATACAGCAGAGGGAGAGACAGAGAGCTACTTTTGCAGGAGAAGGGGCAGAGAGCTACTTTTATACAGCAGAGGGAGAGGCAGAGAGCTACTTTCATACAGCAGAGGGAGAGGCAGAGAGCTACTTTCATACAGCAGAGGGAGAGGCAGAGAGCTACTTTCATACAAGCAGGAGGGAGAGGCAGAGAGTTGATCTTTTGCATACAGCAGAGGGAGAGGGCTAGAGGAGCTATCTTTCATACAGCAGAGGGAGAGGCAGAGAGGCTACATTTGATACAGCAGAGGGAGAGGCAGAGAGCTACTTTGTCATACAGCAGAGGGAGAGTCAGAGAGCTACTTTTTATACAGCAGAGGGAGAGTCAGAGAGCTACTTTAATACAGCAGAGGGAGAGGCAGAGAGCTACTCTTCATACAGCAGAGGGAGAGGCAGAGAGCTACTTTTCATTCAGCAGAGGGAGAGGCAGAGAGCTACTTTTATACAGAAGAGGGAGAGGCAGAGAGCTACTTTCATACAGCAGAGGGAAAGGCATTGCTTGCTATGGATACACATGTGTCACTAGTTACATTACTATGAGTAAGACAGCAAGTACCAGAAAAGGAAGAGTCCAGACTGAAACTGTGAGGATGTGTGAGTGGGTCAAATGTTTATAAATGTGTTTATGAAAGTATAAAGGTATAAAGTGTCACATGTGTTTTACATGTGTTGTTTTGGGCCCCGCCTATAAGCTCCTGCAGCTTCCTGGGAGTTCCCTTTTCCAAAGCACTTACAAACCTTAGACATTAGTGTGTGTGGGACTTGTTGAAGTTTTGTAAATAAAGAGGTAACGCTTTATATTGCGGTGTGCTTGTTAAGTATTAATAAGGTATTAATAGGCATTAGTAACATGCTTACAATTTGCTTGTATGTGCTTATAAACATTAAAAAGCTGCTCATTTCACTCTTCTCCAAATTGTTGTTCTATTTATATGCTTTTAAGCATTTAATAAGTAATTAGTAAGATGCTTATTAAAGGAGAAATGTTTATAAATACATGAATAAGCTGCTTATTAAACTATTATTGATACCATGTTAATAGGCCACTAACAATATGCCTATAAATATGTTAATAAGCTGCTTATTAAACTATTTTGCAGTACCCTAATCTAAAGCGTGGACCATATGTGATAATCAGTGTTGGGCACGTTACTTTGAAAAAGTAATTAGTTATAGTTACTAGTTACTTCTCCCAAAAAGTAACTGAGTTACTAACGGAGTTACTCCACTATAAAAGTAACTAGTTACCAGTAAAAGTAACTATTGCGTTACTTTTTCGTTTTGTTCTGGAACATAATGTGCACCCGACGTGCGCATTTTTACCTTTAACAGTGCCAATATTTCCATCTAGAAAAGTCTGTTTTGCTGCTGAAGTCCTGTTCACTCTTCATCTCTCTCTGTGCTGTAAAGCCCGCCACTGTGAATGTGGAAACACCGGTGACGAGCGGTGAGGCTGGTGAAGCACTGACTTCAGCCCAATCAGATTAACATATACATCATATAAATCAAGTGGACAATTTGTTTGGCTACAGCAAAATATGTTTTATGCCCGCATTGTTTGTTCATACAAAACGCAAAACTATGAGTTATGGGTCTTACCTTATAAATGACCTGCACAGTCCACTTCGGTTCAGACCAGTTCCTTGATTAAATCCAGTTAATGGTTTGAGCGTAGATATGTAATCCTCCATTTGGAAATGAGTCCAATGAGTTTTAAAAAGTAAAACAAAACGCGTGTGTCCTCCATAAACTCCTGTGTTTTGCCAGCGGCAGCCGAGTGCATCCAATTTCTAAAATCAACCGTCTTACACTTCACCTCTCTTTCTTATCATTCCTATAGTAATTGAAAAATTACCCTATGTGCATTTTAGATTATGTAAAAATGTGTTATATGTATGTTAGCCAAACCTGTTGCTGTCCTTAGCAGATAAACCAGGAAGAGCAAGGAGCTTATCGATGGAATTGTATGCAGCCTTCTGCGCTCACATGCGCTCCTCTGTGGCTGACCTCACGGTGATACAAGCCGTGGTTGAGCGCGATTAAGACCCATATTTGTTTCAAAAACACAATTTATGAGTCATCCTCTCAACTGTAGACATGTGGATTGTAAAGGAAATATGATTTATATCAGCCAATAATTGCTGAGAGGTTTTCTCATCCTCCCTTCTCTCATGACAACACGTTCATTGTGCGTCTTGAGTAACGCGCAGTAACGGGATGTCGGAAATGATAACGGCGTTATAGTTACTGTCAAAGTAATTAGTTAGATTACTCGTTACTGAAAAAAGTAACGGCGTTAGTAACGCCGTTACTAGTAACGCCGTTATTCCCATCACTGGTGATAATACAGAAAAGCACAACCATGATGTAAGATTTTTTTTATTTATTAAAACGGAAACAATTACAGCTTTAA